CAGGTTTATGGTGACCTTCTAGGAAATAAGACTAGATCTTTGTATGGTATCCCACTCTGTCATTCACCAAGCTTGCCTATTCTGCCATTAAAAACATAATTTGAGCTTCTCCTCAGGGTCACAAACTACACAGGGATGAGTCAGAGAAAGATAGATGGATTATATAAACAAATAAAATCAGAATACAGAGATATAGGAAGTAATAAGAACTCCTATCTGGTGCTATGGAAGGACAGAGGAAACACACTTGAGCTTAGTGGGGACATGACATTGAGGAAATCTTCTCAAAGTATACTTTGAAGGATGGGGAAAAGCTCAGGAAGCCTATAGGGAAAAATAGAAATGGAGGAGGGAAAATATTCTAAGCAGAGATGCAGCTGCATAAGAATACAAATACCAAGCAGGCCATGTGGAAGAAGATATGCTAGAAAGGTGTGCAAGAGCTAGATCATAACCATTCTTGTAAACCACACTAAGGAAATAGAAAGTTAATGATGAAGTCAGATTTGTGTTTTACAAAGTTCATACCAGTGGGATTATAGCAGATGAATACAAGGAGCCAGCCTATAAGCATCAGCTAAGTAAATGTGACAGAAGCCATTTAAAAACCAACTTAACAGTGTGAAATGGATAAAATGTGGAGATACTGTGACAGATACAAGTACCCTTTCCCTCCTTCCCTACTAACAGAATTCCCTCTGTGTCCAGTCCTGTGCAGAACATGACCACCTCTAGCTAAAGGAATGGAGAAAGGTAATGACACCACAATTGGCTCAGCGTGGGGGTTGGAGTCTGCTGCAGCTGGGAAGGGAGGAGCTGGGCCTGGAGTGAGGGGTGGAGGCCCGTCAGAACCTCCCAACCTTCTTGTAAATTATGAATCCAGCCATGTTCACATCACACTTGAGTATTGGACTATAATGTCTACTATTATAATTCCTTTTCTTCCTTCTAACTCTAAGCTCAAGGGAAATAGGGAAGTATGGCCGGACTGTGGCACTATTTTGGGAAACAGATGACTGGAATTAAACTGAAAAGAAAATGCACAAAAATAAAAATGTGTTGACACCATTTTGGACAATGGGACACAACCAGGGAGAGATCTATTGGGAGGAATTCTGTGGAAACTTTTTTGTCTTTATAAGAGGGATAGATGCAAGAGACGGACTTCATGGCAAACTGGTCTACTTTTTGAGCATTGATTTGACTCCTGAAACTGCAGAAGCCATCTTACAGATGTGAAAAAACAAGTATATAAGGATTAAAAAGTCAACATAACAAGGATGACAGATTAGAAAGATAGAAAGATGGAGAGCATCTGGGTTTGCAGTGATATGTTTGAGTCCCTGTACCAGCCTGTTCTGGATCCTCTACCTTTAGGTTTCCTGTTAATTAAATAATACATTTAAACTTCTATGAGTTGAGTCTTCAGATGTCTCCAAACACCCCAAAGTGACATAATAAAAATAACTCTTACCTGGTGAAGAGCTACTGACACAGGTCGTAGGCTCTATATTTTTATCCACATAAATACATCAATGAAAAAAATAATTTTTCTTCCTTTACAGCACATATTGAAAGAAGATATGAACCACTGGAAGTTCATAGTAAGTTTAATGTGCCTTGTGTTTTTTATAGGACAATATTTCTAATAGCAAAACCACATTAACTATAAAATTCCTGTTTCTTTTTAGTGTCAATATTATAACGAAAATACTGATTCTCAACTGAAGCCATATCTTGCAAATATGGAAATTCCCTAATGTACACTTAGAAAAGAGTTTGGTTAACTAGTTTACTGGCCAGAGCCCTTTTTCTCCTTATTTGTTTCAAAGAAAAAAAAGAGTAAATATTGTTTTCAAGGTGCCTTTAAAAATAAGGCTATGAACTAGTAAAGTAATGTCACAGTGTATAAGTAGGACTTGAATACTGGTGGAAAAAAGGAATTTGGCGTGTCATGATGTAATTATGTGCACTTCACTGTCATAAGTTCAGTGTTGAATTTATAAAGCTAAGACTAAAGAAGGGACAACACAAGTGGGTGACAGGCCTTTCAGATGCAGGTACAGGAGTCTGACTCGCTCAGTCACCTGGGTATGCTGGTCCCCTCACCAACCAAGCTGCCCAGATGTACTCAGTAGGTCAGCCTTTGCTCAGTTCTATTTGTTTCTATAGTTAGAAGTTTTCCTAGAAGGGTTTCTGAGTTCAGTGGAGACACTGAAAAATTCAGGGAATGGGGAGGAGAGGAGAAGGAGGAGGAGGAGGGGAGGGAGACCAACCAATCCTGAAAAGGAGGATTTTTAAAAGTGAGGCGTCCTTGCTCATGTTCCCACGTGCCCTGGCAGTGAGATGCAGACCCGGCACGGCTCTCTGTGGAGTCGATGACGGCTTCTCCCAGCCTAGCTTCCAATCCTGACTCTCAGTGATGAGATACTACATTCTTTGATAAATAAGAAGTCTCTTATCTCTCCTCCCTATCAGTTCTTCTGGTAAGTCCTCGGTGACTCAGTTTCATCCCCTCTTATCTTTCCCTAGACCCTCGTGCTTCTTCCAAAATACCCCACTCTCTCTCCCCCATGCCTACAAACACACTGAATGCCATTCCTCAGCTCTGTTGTTCCCTTTATGACCTAGATTCCCAACTATCTTTACCTTCCAAGTTACATCTGGGACCATATCTGCTGCCACTTCTCGCTACAGACTATTTAAAGTCCTGTGAACCAGGATTTTGTCCCTATCTGCCCAAATCACTGTTTAAAGGTCCTAGTGACACAAAAGACAAACATAAAAACATTCTTAAACAGCATGAGAGACATTCAGCTAGTCCCTCCTTGCCACAAAATGGAGTGTTTTCTGTATTTGTGTGGCACTTGGTGGAGGAGGAACTGGCAGATCAGAAGGGCAGATTATGTGAGTAAATAAAGATGGATGAAAGAACTGGTATGAACAATGTTTACTAGGGGCTCCCATCTGCTAAAAAAAAAAATCTGTATTTTTTTCTTTGCTTCTGCATTTATTATTCCTTTTGATAATATTAGCAGCTAACACTTCAGGGCTAGTTAGCACATAATAATGTTATATACACCATAAATCTAAATACAATCATGTGCAGTTATAACTTCCATTTGAGAGATGAAGACACTGAGGTTTAGACAGGTAAATTAACTTGCTCAAGGTCACAGTGGCAAATGGCAAAGTCAAGACTTTAAACCATGTCAGGCTCATGATTTTGAGGCCTACTAACTACTCTATCATGAACATCACAAGTGACATCAGAAATTCACCATCTCAAGGTTATTACTGTGAGAACCAGTTATGGAGGAACAAATGCCTTCCAGGGTAGATATAGCCTTTTCATGAATCTTGACCTTTTCCTGAATCTTCACCTTTTTGCGAGTTTTGGCCCTAGTTTCAAGAAGTTATTCTTTTTTCAGTGGGTGGTTGATGGTGTAAAAACACATGGTTTTACACCTATAAATTACTGTCAGACCTTTTTACAACAGGAAAGAGATTAGTGCAATGACTCCAAAGTGCCCTCTCTGCTTCCACTTCCTTAGCTCTCCAAATAAGGTTAACATGTATTTCATTAATTATTAAGAGTAGCTTCTTTCACTTTCAAAGTGTCCCAGTTTGGATGATTAATTACATGGTCACCCTACACATGTACCACTGCGCTCAAACACTGATTTCAACATGTAATCAATCTGCTCAGAAGTCGTGAGCTCCTGCTAACTGTGCAAGAGACATTTCTTCCTGCCCAGCAGCCTTGCCTTCAGGGGAACCTCTTTTCCCCATTTCATGTCAGTCTGGGAGGACTGTTCATTGCTGTTGGTCAGTGTCCTGCCCTACCATTCCACCCAAGGGTTGCCATAGTGAATCACGGCAACTCATCCGGAGTGGGATCCAACAAGTGCCAAAGCACTCCAGATAGTAAATGCGGTCTTTCTCTGCCAGGTCTGGAGGCTGGAGAATGTGCTTTTGGAACCACTGAGGGAAAAAATTCCTGCCCCATGAACAGAACTGCTTTACAGAAATAAAGCAATGAGTAGAGTCCACGGAAACACTGAGGGTGAGAGTGTGGCGACAGCAGGTGAGCGCTCCGGAGTGGACGCAGTGCCCGCTACTCAGCGTGTCCTCGTGGCCTTGGTTCCCACACTTTTTAATCCAATTCTATAAACTATCCCAGTATCTTTCCATTTTGCATATGTTAATCGAATCTTTTTGCATCAGCTAATTTGAATTTGGTTTCTATAACTTTCACATCAAAGTGTCCTGACAGTTAATCTCCCAACATTCAATAATATTGAAAGATATGAAAAAAATTCTAAACAAGGCCCCACTTCCAACCTGGCAGAATGGCAAAGATACACATAGATAGAAGTCTGTACACATGCATATACATATATACATTTAATATTCAGTTTTGGGAGAGATACTTGGAGATTGTCACTTATATCTTTGGTTGCGGTATGCATTGATATACAACTTCTAGAAAGCATTTTGGTGATATTTATCAGATGCCTTTAAAAGTACAAGACTTTTATATCATTTAAGGTGAGTTTAGTGACAAGCAACAGATTTAAAACTTAAGCAAGAAGGGAATTTAGAAGGACACTACACTGGGGAACCCCAGAGCTGAAGGAAGAACAACAAAGCTTTGAAAAGAGGCCTAGATAATGCCAGGAAAGACAATGGCAGGAACCCTGCAGATTTTATATAGTGTTCTTTTATATAGTGACTCAGTTCCAATCTGCTTGTACCTACTAAGTCCCTTACCTGCTTTCCCAATTGACCCAGGCCAAGCACTGGTTACACACACTCCTGGGACAGTAAACCACGGCAGGGAGCAGAGACAGCAGGACATAAACTGATGTCAGTTCACTGGTGTATTTCTATATATGCACTTTGGCTGCCCGACACACACACACACATTCCTATGCAGCCAGTCCTGCTTCCACCCACCACCACCCAAATGCTCTATGAATGGGGGCAGGTCCACTCACCTCCTTCACAGTGGAAAGAAGTCCAAAGCTACACACAGCTGCAGCATCCAGGAGCAACAGAGGATTTCACAAGGCTACTGCCCATCAAAATCAGTGCTTCTTAAACTACCTGTAGTAAAGGAACAGTATTGTTTTATTTGTAATCTGTCATGGATAAATTCATTGGGAAAATGCAATAAAAATGAATTGTTAGAAAAATGAAATTAAACATAAAATGCAAGCCTCAATTTTTTATTATTGTATACACCAGGTCTGGAAATTTTTATGTCAGTTTGATAGAGTAATTTTAAGTACTTATTCTTTATTTCTATACTTGCAATATGAACTAGTAATAAAGAGCTCACCAGTAGGCACCAGCCTGCAGACCCCCATTTTGAGTAACTCCTCCTTAGATGAAACACATTCCCCCTCAAATTCTGCCTAAATCTATGGTCCAAAAGGAATGTTTTACCACCAACAATATATTCTATAAAATATGGATAGAAAATAAATCATTTTGCTGTAAATTATGGCACAGCAAGCTAGGAAACAGCCTATATAGTCTTTCTGTCACTTATCCCTATGTCAGAGCTAGTATTTACATCTTCCCTTTCCTATTACTCATTCTGGGATCTTCTTATCTTCTGCCATTCCATGACCTACTTCCCCAGTGGGGCAGCCTGAACCTTGATTCTTGAGCTGTTTCAGTTCTTAATGGTCTTGCCTGCAGAGAGGCAATAGTCTCCCATTAACCTTCCCCGAGGAGAACATAAAAAAAACACTTTGTATCATATTCCTTCTAGTTGTACAGTAGGAATCACAGTCCTCTTACTAGGCATGGTCTATCACCCAGGGCCAATATACTATCTCAATTTCCTGCCATTGGGTCTTTTGGCATGAAGAACCCAAATGATCACTTTTAGCTTCCAATACAGGAAAACCATGCCGTATCCCAAAGGGAAGGTGAGTGACACTAAAAGCAATAGTGAGTAAACATGATGAGTAGGTTAGTTGGTTATAATTGTTACACACATCAGTCCCTCCTCATTCTGTGGTTCTGAGATCCACATCTTCTAGATACAGGGGAACAGTGCCTTATTCGGGACACTGGTTCAGAGCCTAACTTTACAATCTTCTGTGACATAGCTATGTCATCAGGTGGCTCCTGGAAGATTGTACTGCTAAGTTTGTAGAGGCTATTCCACCATATGAGAAGGCTAGCTGCTTCATTGATACGGAACATAAAGCAGTGAATTACATTTGAATTAGTCTATGGCCTTCTTTGTTTTTGATCAGAGAACGCCCTGTGCAGCCAACCTTGGTGGGTAATAAGATGGTGTATGAAGCATTCAGGAAGTCTGCAGATGGTAGTTCTGGAAGAGGCACACCCTGGAGGAAGTGGAAAAGGGGAATGCTGTTTCCTTCTATAACAAGGGCAATTAAATATAATCCAACAAGGATCTGACTTGTCTTTACTAGGTGTGATGTCACATCAGAGAGGTGGGCTGACCTCTAAGGCTGACAAGCTGAGCATTCAGCGGTGGTCCAGCCTGGTCTGTTTTATTGAAGGAGTGGCTATGCAGTCGGGTCTATACAGAGCCTCCATCCCTATTGCCATGACTTCCTTCTTCATGTTCCATGTGAATGCTCACCAGAAAGCCATCCCTACAGAAGAGGCTCTCAATCACGTGAACAGGCTTTGCTTTTACTTTGTTGTAGATTTGGATCCTTGATCATAGACTGTAAAATACAAATATCTTTTACGTAAACAGTGCTATCTGATCCATGTAGACAGTTTCTAAACGGACTATCCCTTGCTAAAGGAAGCAAAGCCTTTCTCAAAATCTAGGAGTTTTTTGCAGTTCTATTAGGATTTGCCATAGGTACCATTCAGTATCTAGATCCGCTGGTCACTGCATTAACTTCTTCCAATGAGGAGACAACACTTGGAGAGCATTGCAGTGAGAAACACCACCTGGTTAAGGAATAATATGCTGGGCAGCTTTTCTGACACCAGCTCCATATTTTCCGTGGCTCAGTCTCCTGATAGGCAGACATCCCAGAGTTCTTTCACAAGGTGACCTCATCCCTGAGATCCCATAGAATTAATTCTTCCCATTGTAGAAGCGACTTCTCACTCTTCCCTGAATTTCTCACTATCTTCTACTTGATTTTCCAGACCCTCTATCACCTGGTTCCCTGCATTAAATTACCTCTGTTGTAAATACTTGACATGAATGTTATGTTCCTGGAAAGACTCTACCTGTAGGTCAGCTAAGTTTACTCACACTAGTCTCTGTGGGACTATAATTAATGCATATTTCTCTGACTTTATAATAGGCAACCTGGCAACTTTGAGAATCCTCAAGTTAGCTCCTTGACCTCTTTGTAAAATTTGCTCAGAGTAGGAGAGCCAAATGGTAGCATTTATATATCCCATACCTTCAAAATAGTTGATCAAATGCAAAACCATGGTCATCCTAGGATATTTTCAAAGTCTTGAAAGATGTACATGTGGATATTCATACTTTATTCCCATCCTGTTCCTTGGTTTAGCCATTGCAAATACTGAAGACATTTGAAGAATGCAAGTTTTTGTTTTTACATCAAAAAAGTAAAAAATAAACCAAACACAACACAAAAAACAGACCTTAAAGTCTGCCCATATAATTACTGAAGAGTCAATGTTGAATTTGAGCTAAAGATTTCTGCTTGTCTATTCCCCAAACCCTGATCACTACCCTGCCTTTGGGCCTCTGGTCACACCCGCTCAGGGTCTGCAATCAATTGCCTTCAGCACGGCTCCTCCTAACTCTGCTGAGTTTAGGGGTCCCATTTTCATTGCCTCTCTCTCCTCTGCAGTTCTGGCCTACAAAAACAGCCAGTAACGTACATTTATGAAGGATTCTTCAGCCTGGCTCAGTAATCTGTTTCTTATGGGAAAGAAAATTCTTCCATCCCAGGAACAGAATAGAATGAGAGGTTGGTGGGCCAGACACATACACATATAGCCAAACTAATGTTTCCAGTTCTTGCAGACTTTAAGAGTAAGAAAAGCTCTAGAATGATAGGAAGGAATTCAATGTCACCTAGTATAGGACAGCATTTAGTAATGGTTTGCACTCCCCAAACCACCTAACTTGAAATTAAAGTAGGCTTCCTAGGGCTAGTTCATTTAATACAGACTACCTGGTGAGTGCTATAGCAATGATTTCAGCAGATCTGAATTGCTGAAACTTCCCCTGAAAATGTTTTCTTCACTCTAACCTCTGAGGCTTATATGTGTTGAATTTAAGTTTTGTCACTTAGAGCAATAATGAAAAGAGAGATACGGAATTGGGCCATGTAGGGATGCCAGATAAAATACAGGATATGCAGTTACATTTTAATTCAGATAAACAATAATTTTTTCTTATAATCATGTCGTGTGCATTATTTGGGACATATTTATATTAAATCAAAACATTCATGGTTATCTGGAATTCAAATTTAACTGGGAATCTTGTATTTCTTGTTGCTAATTCAGACAACTCTATAGTTGGGGGCAGTTGACATCAGCTTCCCTTCATATAAAGAAGTTAGATGCATTGGGCAAGGGAGTATAATAAGGTGGTTAAGAAATCGGGCTATGGGGAGAAGGGGATTAAGGGGCATTACGATTAGCACACATAATGTAATTGGATCATGGGGAAGGCAGTATAGCTCAGAGAATACAAGTAGTGACTCTATAGCATCTTACTATGTTGATGGACAGTGAGTGCAAAGGTGTTGGTGGGGGGAACTTGATAATATGGGTGAATGTAATAACCACAGCATTGCTCATGTGAAACATTCATAAGATTGTATATCAATGATACCTTAATTTAAAAAAAGATTGGAGGGAGTAAGAGAGACCTGTGAATAAACTCATTTATTCCACTTAAAAAAGAACAAACTCAGGCAGTGGAGTGAGATTGCCCAGATTTGTTTATATCACCTCCACTTAATGGCTTTGTGGCCTTGGACCAGGACCAGCTATATAATGTGATAATGTGCAGGGCCAGGGTACCTCATTAGCCTCCATTCTGTTGATTTTGGCAACAGCTCCCCAGACACCCAGGGCTTCACTCCAAGGAGATGCCCCGTTGCCTGAAGGTGAGAGGTTGGCAAGATATCTGGCTACACTTACCATGAGCCTGTACACTTCTGTCCCAGAGCACAGAAGGGGACCTCACTGCCTTTCATCCTAGTAAGGTCCATTGGCTAATTCAAAATATTGTCTTTATCTAGGTGTCTGTTGTAAATAAGCCACCATCAGTATCTGATAGGGGTTTCTTTTTTGGTAGCAATTGAAAGGAACCTCACAAAACATGCATTTTGGGGAATGCAGTCTAAGGTTGATCACATGACTCAAGCAAGTGCTGCACAGACCAGCTTTGGGAAGAAATAGGAGCAGTGCAATGTCAAAACCTAGCTGCAGAAGCCTGAGGTCATTGCATTAGGCCCCTACCCAAGATGACCCCAGATGTTTTTGCCTTTGTCAGGTTTCCAAGTCTTCTCTCTTTTTGGTGTTGGTGGCAGGGGAAGCTTGGATCAAGGTGGTCTATTCCTGGACTAGAATGGTTAGGGGCAAGAACTGAGAATGTTGGTCCAGAGAGAGCCTCTCAGGGAACCAATGTGAGCTGGGCATACACTCCAGTTTGAGCCTATTGCAACCTGTTAGGACTCTACTATAAAAAATAATCAGAGATGCAATAGATATGTGGACAGGGCCTTTTGTTAAAGTGAAGAATTGGAAGCAATTTAAATGTCCAATAATGGGGTGGAAGTTCAAATAACAATATGGGGAAATAAAACATGGTATGTAAATGTACATTTATTTATGAGGTGATTTTGAAGACTGGATTGATAATTAATGTTATGGGAATTTATAATGCAAGTCAGGATTTTACAATGATACCTTTTTGCAAAAGATTGGCAACTCACAAATTTCACTACCCAGGGATAATTTTGTTTTCACAGTTAAGTAGCATCCATTTTGAGTTTGGAAATTATTTTTTCAAATTAAGATTTCTGATTGCTATGAATCAAGCTACAACATGCCTTTGAAAATGGCTGTTGTTTCTTGAACTAGCTACTTGAAAGAAAGTATCTTGGCTTCCCAAGATATCA